CTTTGATCAGCCCGATGGCCAATCGCTGACGCCTCTCACCATGGCCGCCATGTCGGGCAATGTGACGTTCGTTAAGACGCTGCTCTCTCACTACGACGTGGACCTGGAACGGGAATGCAATGTCATATTCGATGGGCTGGTGGTGTATGGCGCCACAGCCTTGTGGGTAGCCGCTGGCATGGGCCACTTGCAGATTGTTAAGATGCTGGTGCAGGCCGGCGCCTCCATCAATCACAACACCAAGGCGCAATCTTCGCCGCTACGCGCTGCCTGCTACGAAGGTAATTAATTGATTATGCATGCCAAGTTCTATTAGTTAATTGCATTTCTTTGCCGTGCAGGTCGCTTGGACATCGTGGAGTTCCTGCTGGAACATGGCGCCGATGTGAATGCCACAAACTTGTTCAACAACAACACGCTGATGATAGCCGCCTACAAGGGACATCATCTGGTTGTCAATACGCTGCTGCAGAATGGCTCGCGCCCCAACGACCAAGCGCTGTGTGGAGCCACAGCTCTGCACTATGCTGCGGAGAGCGGCCATCTGGATGTGGTCAACGCGCTGCTCGATCATGGCGCCACGCTGCAGAAGAATGAGGCAGGAATAACTCCAGCACTGCAGGCTGCTGAGCGATTGCATGAGGATGTAGTGGAGGCCTTCATCCAGCGCCCCGGGCTGATGACCAAAGAGGAGCAGATCACTGCGCTGGAGCTGCTGGGCGCTACGTATGCGAACGATAAGACGAAGTATGACGTGAATCGGGCTTACAGCTATTTAATGCGTGCCATGCAGATGCGCTACAGCGATCCGAGGCACGTGATTCGTAAGAAGGTGCAACAGCCGGTACCCGCATATGACAGCTGGTTCGAGACGGAGAACTTGCCCGAATTGAATGCCATCAAGCTGAATCATCACTCCATCCACATGGAGTCGTTGGCCATACGGGAGCGTGTGCTGGGCAAAAACAATCCGGAATTGCCACAAGCGATTGTCTATCGAGGCGCTGTAATGGCAGATCAGGGCCGATTCGAGCAGTGCCAAGTGCTGTGGAACTACGCCATCGATCTTCGCATGCGCAACAATGTAAGATAATATAGCCAACTTATTGAGCTGCATTTATTCACATTCCTATTTTCTGTTGCAGGTCAGCGTGGATCGCGATTTGCTGCGTTTTGCGCAGCTCTTTGCGCAGATTTTGCGCGTGGAGAACCATCGCCTGACCCTGGACCATGTGCTGCCCGTGTTGACCAAATGCCAGCAGGAGATTGAGAACAACAAGCTAAAGATGCGGAACGATAAGCCCAACACCTGCGTCAGTCTGCTGCAGGACCAGAACAATCAGAACTGCATCACAGCGTTGTATTTAATTAAGATAGTCACTCAGCTAGCACGTCGCAAGAAGGATCAGGACATCAATGAGGATCACATACAGCAGCTATTCTTAGTAGTTCGTAAGTTTATACAGAACGACACACGTCTGCAGGATGGACAAACGCTGCTGCATCTGGCCGTGAACGGTGTGACACCCATAGACGAATTCTACACCAACGAAATGTGCAAGTAAGAGGAGAGTGTGGTCCTTTAACGATTCCATCTAACTGTTGTTGTCTTTTGTCAGATTTCCCTGCTATGCAACTGCTTTGGTTCTGGTGCACTGCGGCGCCTCTGTGGTGGCTGTGGATGCGGCCAGGAATACGCCCCTGCATATCCTGGTGACGAAGATAAACAGCTCGCAGGATCGCCAGGGCGAGATGACGCGCATATTGCAGCTATTCGTGGAGGCAGGCGCACATTTGGATGCGGTGAATGCAGCGGGTCAAACAGCAGCTGCAGCCTGCAAGCTAGGTAAACTACAGTTAAATATGCTTCAGTCCTAGTTGCTAACTGAATGTCTCGTCTTCTTGCAGCCAACTTGGCCAACCTGCTGCATGGCCATCAGAACGCGCACACGACTCTGAAATGCTTAGCGGCGCGCTGCATTGCCAGCAACAGAATAAGCTTCAAGGGCATGATACCCAAGCAGCTGGAGGCGTTTATACAAATGCATAGCGTCCATAAGGTGCTCTCATAGATGCAGATAGATATATATATTTATACATAAATATATAGCCAAAAAATTGGGCCAAAAAATAAGAAGGGAAATATGAAAATCGGAAACTCAACTTAAGTCATTAGAACTGTGAATAATTTGAGCCTCGGCGCAAATGTCTGTGCATATTTATGTAAAGGTCTAACGAATTTAGTGACTTAATTTAGCCAAATACCAACACGCACATAAACGGACACACATCACATATATATAAATATATGTATACTTTATATGTATGGATAGATGGAGATCACGCATCTTTATGCTTATTTAGTTTAGTTTGTTTTTATATATGTTTCTCTTTCGGTTTAATTTGTACGACAAACGCACACACTCACAGCACACATACACTTTCATGTAATTATTTATTTACAACGTACACACACACTTACGCACACTTTGACTGACTGTTTGTTTGTAATCATATGTAAAATGATTTTGTACATTTTCTATATGTGTATAATTAATGTTAACTGCTAATTGCAACAATTTGTAGAATCAATTGAATTGATTTTGTTGCTGATGGCCCACAACACAAAATAAATATATGAAATACGCAATAACAGAAGGAAACTTTGTAATTGAATGCATATACATATATCATCTATCTATATATATATTTATAATTCAGAGAAATCACAGCTGATCCAAATACATATGTACACAGAGATCTTATCTTAAGTAGCCTAAATGTCTAGGTGGCTAATCTTATGATTATTGTGTCGCACCTGCGGATACACCTGCGGCTGTCGCATCACCTCCTCGTATGAGGGCGGCGGAGCTAGAGTTAAAGGAAGAAAGAAGGAGATTCATAACTAAGTTAGCGTTCGGTCATGCAACGCCTACCGTTAATCACGTAGTCCTCGTCGTGCATGTAGGCTGGGTTGATGACCGCATCCGTGGGATATGTGCGCTCGATGGTGCGCTCCTCGAGCGTCGAGCGATGCGAGTAGCGCTGCAGGTTGTCCGTTTGCCTGTGGAAATTGTTCATGTAGTGATCCTCCTGCTCGATGTCCTCGCTCTGTAGCTGGATCACATGCACCGAGGGACGGCGCTCGGCACTCGTCTCCGCGATGGCATCCGTGTAGCTCTCGCCCAAGCGAAAGGGCGCCGTCAGCGACTTCTTGCACTTGAGAAACAGCACGATCAATATCCAGCCAAGGATGAGCACCAAGTAGACAAAGCCCAGCATGCTCATGTGGAGGCCGTTCCAAAGGGGCCGCCACAGGGGCGCCCAGTTCCAAGAGACTTTCAACCAAACTGAGGACCTAGTTGTTATTTTATTTCCTCTAGCTCTTCGCTTTGCTAACACGCAACACCCGCAATGCCTTCGAGGCTGTATGTGTGTGTGTGTGTGTGTGGGTAAGTTATATGAAAATCGATAAACGGCTAACGCGTCGTCCTGCCCGTGGCCAGCTCTGTCGTTCTGGCCGTGCTCATTGTTGTCGCCCAACTGACAGCCCGCGAGGACGTCTGACCATTTGGCAAGTCTGGACTCACGCGTCGCCATATCAGCAATGGCCACAACACAAACAGACCGCAGCAAAGAATTACCAACTGACTGACTGACTAGCAGATGCCCTGTAAGTAGCTGCCACAATATTAACCAATTATATATTGAATCTTCCCATGCTGTGTTAACAATCTGTATATCTAATATGAACATACATGTATACTTATAAGAAGTCTTTCGAATATCGAAATAGAGAAATAGAATTGATCGATAAGTATCGATTTTATGTAAAACATCTCCTAGATGGGTCTTAGCAGTTTATGAACTTGTGCAGTTGCGCATCTTCACTCCCTAGTCGTGCATCCTCACTAAATACAGGGTATGCCAAGCGCAGCGGAAGTGTGAGGGCGACGGTCACAGTTTAGTGGAAGTGCTGCAATGTTTGACCAGCATTGAACCAACTCTGATTTCTGGCTAGCCAGGCGACAGTCAATAATCAGCTCCACTAGACCATAGCCATGGCTCTGCCTCAGTCCTCGCCTTGTCCTTGTTATTCCGTTATTATTGCTGCTTGCGCCAATTGTTTCAAGCAGTGCGTCCCGTGGGCGCTTAAAACTATGAGCTCATATAGTCCGCATAATACTCGTAGTCTAATTCAGCTGAAAAGTCAAGAGCGTGTGACGTCATACGCATGCTAATAGTCCACTTAATATTATGTATGGATAAAAATAGCTGAAATACCAAATGGCCAAGGCTTCGATTGCTCATGCACAGCGTGATGCCACGCCCCCATCGACCCCACCCCAACCAACTGAAGAGTGCGACATTGCATTGTGTGTGTGCTTTATTGCCATCATCATAAAGTAATTTCAACATTTTATTTACTTACAATTTGTTTTTGTTTTTTGTGTGCTTGGTATATGGTTAATAAATTATTAAAGCGTAAACCTAAAGGGTCATGACTTATGATTCCTTAATACTACGCAAAAGTCAAAGAGGCGACGTCAAAGTTTTTAGCCCCAAAGGCTAACAAAAATTGTTGTGCAGCTTATAGTAAACTTGCAGTTGCCCTTGCAGAGGTGGATGGGGAATATAAAAGTCGAAATAAGTCGAATATACAAATCGCGACATATTCTTAGAGTCAATAGCTTTAACTATACTATAATATTGATGTTATATCAAGATAAGAAATAGACAAGGCGAAAGAATGTGTATTCCTCTTCCACCTGCAAGAACCTGCACATGAGTGGAATCCTAAAGATATTGAGTAAGACATATGTATGTGTGTATGCGAGGTTAGTCTGAAAAGTGTCCGATCTTAAGGGGAACATAAAATAAAATAGAAAAGTATGTTAATATATATAGGTATTTTCAGTTGTGTCTAAACTATTTTCGAATGCCCTCTTGAAAATTCCGAGCTGAAGTTGAAACCGGTAAGAAAATTAATAGTTTTAGCTTAAGACTTTGTTTCTTATATAGAACGAGGTGCTATTCTTGTGTGAGTTAGCTTATGGCACAATTTGGTTAGTGTTAGGCCAAGTATTTGGATTAGTGCGGGTGAGCTGACGACAGCTCCCTCTATAAGCATATGCTATATGTATGATTATATATTTTATGATATGATATACATGTATTTGGGTACAAGGTGCTTGTACTATCACAAGTTCGATTGGTTCGATTGGCTCTGAGTCTGGGTGGCGCCTCTCTACCTCTCTGCCTCTCTTCTCCTACTCCTCCTCCTGCTCCTACAGGCTGGTCGTTGCCTGCAGCTTGAGGTAGCGCGTGCCATTCTCCGCGTCCGCCATCCTCGCTATGTGGTCCGAGGCGGCGTAGCAAGTCGTCGCGGTGGGCGTGCCCGGCCTGCTGTTGTTGCTGCTGTTGTTATTGTTGTTGTTGTTATTGTGGTGGTGGTGGTGCAAGCTGCTAATGCTGCTCAGACTGGCATCGCCCGCTCCACCACTGACGCTCTGGCGTATGCGCGTGGCACCCCAGATCAGGACGACCACCGAGGTAACCAGAATGCCCAGCCCCAGTCCGGGCAGAAAACTCTTGTGCAGCGAATCGATGACATCGTAGCTGTGCATCAACGTCGGCGGCGGTTGCTGCTGATGTGGATGCAACGGCTGCTGCTGCTGGCTGCCGCTGCTAAACTGGCGCGGATTCAGCTGCTGGTAGTCCTCGCCAGCCGCCTGCTCCGGCTCCAGATCCAGCTCGTGCGGCGTATAGTAGGGCCGACGCTGATACTGACGCAGAGCGGGCTTGGAGCCGGGACTGCTGAGCTGCAACTGCGTTATGTTGGAGCAGCCGATGTTGAGCTCAGCTTTGGGATTCTGCTCTTGCACCATGACCAGGCAGAAGCGATAGCTGCAAAGGCAAAAGCAAACCGTGAGAATGGAGAGTTTAAAGTGTTAAAAGGTTTTAATAATATATAGAAAGTAGAGAGTAGAGAGGGGAATACAGAAAGAGTTTATAAAGTGTATGTAGCATGTATGTATATGAAGAGAATTCAGAAGAGTTCTTGAAGAGTATATAAAAATCATATTCTCTATATGATATGATATGATATAAGGAGTAGACTGTAACGTACCTTTCGCCAATATCCAATGAGGAACTATCGGGCACTATCACGCTCACGGTATTCTGTCCATTGACGACCTTGCTCTCGCAGTGGATCTAAATAAAAGTCTTACAGTTTACTTTCAGCTCATTTAAGCCATTATATCACCTCCACTTACAGGTGAGTTATCGATGAGAATCTCGTTCACATTCTGCTCCTTGTAAACAAATATGGCGTCGCACATATAGTCCTTCTTGCTAAGATTCAGCAGCCACGTCAGGATGAGGCCATAGTCCGCCGAGTAATGCAATTCGTGTAGAATGATCTAAGGGAATCGACAAGTTAGCTACAAGGAACTATAGTAATTCCATAGAGTACAAACCTCCTCGGACAAGTCCTTGACATGTGTCGACGTTTGATTGGGCTTGGCCAGCGTTTCCAGATGCTCCATAATGTTCGCATTATCTTTCTCCACGTTGTCCATGTCGCAGGTAAGCGACTCCACCGGCACCTGGAGCAGCGGAGCGCCCTCCAGTCGCGGAGGTGTGACGCAGGAGGCGCTGAGACTGGAGGAAAGCTTGGAGACCTGCAGCCACTCGGCGAAAGGACGAATGCTGCAGTCGCAGGACAGCGGATTCTCCTGCATCTGCAAGCTCTGCAGCTCCTGTGCGCGATCCATGGCATTTCTGGCCACGATCGAGATGTCATTACCGGCCAAGCGCAGCTCCCGCAGCGAGGGCAGCGGCGCAATCAGGTCCGAGGTGAGGGCGCGCAGAAAATTGTGCGTCAGGTCGAGCACTGTGAGCCGCGTGAGGTGCTGCAGCGAGGCGCTGGAGATGGCCACAATGCCGTTGTAGCTCAAGTCGAGGCTGTCCAATGAGCCCAGCCCGAAGAAGGCGTGATCCTGCAGCACGTCGATCTGGTTGTGACGCAGCGAGAGGCTGACCAAGCGAGAGAAATTCGCCAAGGCCTTGTTCTGTATGCTCTTAATCATATTCCTGTTCAAGTTCAGGCTCTCCAGGTTGCGCATGCCGGGCAGCGTCTGCTCGCTGAGCGGTCCATTCAGATTGTTCGCCGTGAGATCCAGTTGGCGCAGGCTCAGGCACTGGCTCAGTGCCTTCAGGCTCTGCGCATAGTCGCCCAGTCGATTGCCGCCCAGCTTCAGCACCTCCAGCTTGCGCAGGCCGCTGAAGGTGCGCTGAGAGATGCTCGAGATTTGATTGTTGCTCAGCTCCAGGTAGACGAGGTTGCCCAGACCCACAAAGTCGGCCGTGCCCAGAGCCTTTATCTTGTTGTTCGCCAAATCGAGGCGCTCCAGGCTATTCAGCGTGGACAGCGCATTCCAGGGCACGCTCAGCAGCGCATTGCCCGGCAGTCCCAGGGCCTGCAGCGGGCCCTTGATGCCCAGAAAGGCGGACTTGTGCACCCGCTTGATCTCGCCCGAGGAGATGACCAGGCCGTGCAGCGAGATGCCATCAAAGATCTTGGCATCGCTCAGGAAGGTCACATTGCGCAGCGAGCAGTCCAGCAGCGATATGGAATACGGCGAGCTGCGCAATCTGTCTGCCAACAACTGCGGGAGATGAAGAGGGAAAGTCGATTTAGAGTGGATTTTACGGTATGTTTATTCACTGGCTTAATCTACACCCAATTCGTTTACTATGTATGCTACAAGTGTCCCAGCTGAACTCTGGCTCAGTTCATCTCTCAAGAGCAGCTGGCATATCAAATACTTATACAATTAAACGAATGCCTGTCTGGCACCTTTACTCCTCTCTCGGCAAGGTCTCGGCTGATCTCTGATCTAATAGAACATGCCATGCACCAAAGTCTTAGCTGTTCCCTCGAGCTCATCACACACAATCTAAATAGTTACCTAGATTGAGCTTGAACAATGTCTCTTTTAGTTCGCATAGCCATGCAGTCTATCTAAGGTCTGTGGTCTACTGTTAGATTTGAAGTGATGAAGTAAAATCTTAGCTGATCACACATGTAGTGATGCTGTTTGCTTGGCAATTTCAAATACTTATCTATTATTCGATTACTCATTCGATCAATCTTCTGCTTCCACTCGTATGAAGCCCTAGCTAGCCTCCAATCTAAAAACTCTGTCTATTTGCAACTGCAGCTGAAGTCTGACCGAACTCGCATCTACTCAGAGATATCATTTAGCGAACTCTTAGCTCTTAATCAATGTATTGTGCCTGTCATTTCTATTCGCACTCCGAAATATATCTAAGATCTAAGATTCAAGGGATTATCAAACCACTCACCAATAGTCCATGCAGATCGATATTGCAGCGCAGCGTGTGGGGCAGATCGCAGCCGCACTCGAGTTCCGCATTGCGAGAGCCCGAGATGTTGGGGCACTTCCACTCGAGCAGGCCATCCGTGTCCACGGGCAGCGGCAGCGAGGAGACCTCCTCGGCCTTGCGCTTCCTGGGCGAGCTCTTATTGAAGTATTTGCCAGGGGCTGGCTTCGACTTGGACTTGGGCGCGACTGCATTGAAGGCGGGCATAGCGGCCGCCGAGATGACATAGGCGCTCACAGTGGTGGGGCTGGTGGTTGTGGTGGTGCTCGACGAGCTCGTGCTGGCTGCGGTGGTAGTGTCCTCGAGCAGATCCTTTAGCTGATTGGCTGCCACGAGCGTCAGAGCCAGCAGCAGGCAGCTAAAAAAGAGAGAAACCAAAAAACAACGTTATGGAAAAGTTTTTCTCAGATGTTTTCGACGAAAATAAAACAGTTAGGGAGTAAATATATTTGTGAAATTGCATTTGCATAAAATGCTAAAGCCAATTGAAATTATGTGTGGAAATTCTTTTTAGGTCAAGCAGCGCAGCGGTCATAGCTTGAGATACACATTTACAGTTACAGATACAGATGCAGATACATTTGTATCTTGTGCAAGACAATTTGCCAATTAAGCGCTTAACGCAGTTAGAGCGTGCGATTTATTGCATTGAAACTGAATCTGTGTGTGCGTGTGTCTTAGTCCGAGATACTTTTGTATCTTTTCGTATGCAATCTGCTCGAAAAATAGACAAATGCCGACGTGACATCGATTTGCCAGCACAAACACATTTCCCAATTTTTTTTCCTTTTTTTTATTTCACGCAAAAGCGAAAGCAACACAATAAATGTTCATGGGACATGGTTATTGTTGTTGTTGTTGTTGCTGAGGATGACGTTGCCCCCAGGCATGCTAATTGAGAGTATGTATCTGTTCTTATTATGCACTAGCTGCACGTACTCTGAATTTGTCATAGAAGATGTTTCCGAAGATGCGTCGAGTAGAGAAATAGAGCCGAAGCTGGAATTATCGATAAGTATATGCACTTATGCTGCTATAATTTCATGTACTATATACATATACACCCATCTCAGCTTAAAGAATAAAACACTTGCAGCTGTAATCGATTTCAGTCTCCATTTTCTCGTCTTGCCTACGTTTCCATTTTAATATAAACAGCTTAAGTTATTCCCTGTAAATTTCTGATAAGCCAAGTATAAATTGCCAACAAATATTCTTCTGTCTAATTATGTTTACGTACCAGAAAGATCCAGCTATCCCATAATTGATAGAAAAAGCCTTAACTATATAATCGTTTCAATTAAGAATTTCTTCCATTCTATCGGCTTCACTGTGCACACTAACTGAGACACATTTGAATCTCATATCAATACATAAATATAATAATTTTTTAAAGATAAGTAATCGCTATTATCTTTCAATTAATCTCTGCAAATGAACCAAAAACTTTACTCCACAAGAATCAACGAAAATGTTTCAAGCAATCTCCCCAATAAATTCCATTTGACAACAATCTCATGTCTTGGCCCAGCACTGTTTTGGGTAGGGTATCTAGTAGTTGGCATCCTTTATTTCTGAGCCAGCACTGCTCATTGCATCATATGTATGTCAATTTCGTAGTGGAACGATTCTCTAGCATGGGCAGACACCAGACACTAAATTGCGTGCGAGGCTTTAAAAGGCCCATCTTCGTACGCTACGCGTGTTTAGTTGTAGTTTGGCAGTTGCTGCGGAAGCGCTTTAGGATTAAAGTGGTCCAGGCACCCAAAACCCAAAACCCAAATAATCAATCAATCGGTCTGTCTGTCTGTCTGCCTGTCGCTTTCTCTCTGTTCCTAAATGGCTCTGCGTTGGAGTAAAGCGAGCGCGTTTCTCCTGACCCTCAGCGTGATCCTGTTGCTGACGCAAACGCAATCGAAGCTGCTGACTCGCTGCCAGCTGGCCAAGGAGCTGCTGCGTCACGATTTTCCACGCAGCTACCTATCCAACTGTAAGTATCGAGAGTCAGCTAACCGATCGTGCGACTGATCCCTGCTATATCTAGGGGTCTGTCTGGTGGAATCGGAGAGCGGACGCAGCACCTCAAAGTCCATGCAGCTGCCCAATCAGAGCGTCAGCTACGGACTCTTTCAGGTAGAGGCAAAGCCCAAACACCTTCATTTTGCTACATTTCTAACTTCGCTCAGCTCATTAACAGATCAACAGCAAGAATTGGTGTCGCAAGGGTCGTCGCGGTGGCATCTGCAATATCAAATGCGAAGGTAAAGTCGAAGTCGAATTATACCCCAACAATTAGCTCGCAATAGATCTCTCTCTCTCTCTCTGTCTTTCCGTCTTTCTCTGTCTTTTCTTAGAATTTCTGAATGATGAGATCTCGGATGATTCGCGCTGTGCCATGCAGATCTTCAACCGTCACGGCTTTCAGGCCTGGCCCGGCTGGATGAGCAAATGTCGTGGGCGTACGCTGCCCGATGTCTCTCGCTGCTAGGCCGCAAAGGGGGGCTGCATAGCTCCAAGCGCCCCATCAGCAAAGTGGTGTCTCTTAGCTCTGACCCCTGCCGGTGTTCAGAGTTCAGCTTTCTTAGTCCTAAACATATATGTTAGCTGTTAGCTGTAAGCGTCGCTCGTTTCATTCGACTTTCATTGCATTTTCAATTATATTAAATATAACACACACATATTGAGTTCATCTTTGTGCGCGATTAAGTTTTTCCAGGAATCATCATATCAGTTTTTTAATATTGCGTTCTACACATATTTACCATGCAGTTTCAATGCATATTACCTGCTTTCAGAGTGGGAAGAAAGGGTATGTTCGCTTCTTGCTAAACTATTTTAATATATAAGCTAATAATTTCATAAGAATATAGAAATTTGCATGGTAACACGTTACAGCTGCAGCAAATTAAGCTACAAATATGCCCTGTTTACAGAAATTAAAGTGGGGTATATACCTTCTTTCGGTAAAATCTAGAGTTTTCTTTGTTATATAGACAAAAACAGCACTTTGAACATTTTTCAGCCACTGCATATCTGTATACCCTAATTTTGGAGTGTAAAATGGGTATATAGGTTTCTTATTTGCCCATTAATGTAGATCCTAGCCAATTTTTAAGATGTCATTAGATTTGCCCTTCACCTTACTTCACACATATATACCCCGATTCCAGAGTGGGAAAAGAGCATATATATATATGAGTTTCCTACCATAATAAATGTATGATTCACTATATATCTTGCAGTTCTATGATAACAGAGAAGATTGCTAAGCCCTCCATTCTGCAATTTCTCGTGATAGAGAGATTTCCCATTTTATTCTCTTCCCTCAGTTCGTTTAGTGAGCTCAGAGACAGCCCGTACTAATTTTATTCTATAGATAATATCTTGCTTATCGTGCATATTTACTTAGATAACATCAGCTCTATTTCTTATACTCTACTCTATACAGGGCATCTCATCGTCCAGCTGCCTCCTTAAAATCTTTTTCGTGTAATTCGGTCAGAAAGTATGAATACAGATTGATAATAAAGTGACCGATAAGGCTGTGTAAATTAGTTGGGCTGTCAGATATACAGGTACAGATATTGAGAAATATCGAATTCAGACAACCGAGTAAATATAAATATTCACATATAAATATTAGTATATGCATATATGCATATATGTAATGTATATGTCTGTACACCTTAGACACATCTTATCACTAAGTAACTGTAGGCACAACAATATTATTTAAAATATAAAAAAACAAGTAATAACATTGCAATCGGGCGCAACCGACTGCATAATACTTGTTAATGGTTCAGATATTATGTATCTGTATCTGTATCTGCATCTGCATCTGCATTTGTATCTGTATCTGTATCTGTATCTGTATCTGTATCTGTATCTGTATCTGTATCTGTATCTGTATCTGTATCTGTATCTGTATCTGTAAATATACGAACATACTCTCTTTTTCAATGCTTGATCGAGTATATATTAAGTACGTATTAAGTGCTGTCTCTGTAGTCAGAGCGTAACAAATTGCGAGAGACAGAATTGCCAATAAATACTCGTGAAGGCGAGAGCCCAATGCTTCATTCGATGAGAGAGTTTTGTTTTGTTTTGTCTCGGGGCTGCGCTGCCTAAAGAACACTTTGTCAAGTATTTCAATTTTGGTTTCAGTATCTGTGTGCGGGCCCGCTGTGGCGCACATGTCTAGCCTTTAAAGCGTAACTCGAACACAAAAGACAAACAAATCAAAATAACAATAAAAAGAAGAAAGCAAAAAGATATCACAATTCGTATTCGGGTTGAAACTAGTTTTGATTGCTGCGGCGAGCGTCTGTTTCAGTGGGCTCCAGTTAATTAACTAAAGGTAAACATTGTAATTACTTTATAATTGAGTCCACAAAAGGTGAGAAGGTGCTTTTTGGCCAAAATAATACAAGTGACGTGCTTTGAATGTGTAAAGCACTTGGAGCTATAATAAATCTGTTGATGCATAAATCGTGCTGCTTATATTTTCCCAATATATATTTAAATTCAATAAATAACATTTTTTTAACAGTGTTTTATAGATTTTTTATTCTCGTGTTTCGGAAACAATTCAACGCTCTCAGCTATTCAGGTGAGCTGACAGGTTTTCTTTTGTTAACGTTTTGTTTACACAGCAACAGTTCTTCGAAACTTGTTGGCTTAAGCAACGCTTCAAACAATATCGGAAATTATCATTATTGCTATTATCAACAGTATTCAATGTGCTAATTAATCGCATACCATAAATCAAATGCTATCCAGAGACCCCTAACTGCATGGCCTAACAATATAAAACAACAAACTCTGATTAAACAGCAAATGTTTGCAGTACTTAAAACTTTATTTAAATATTTGAAGATATGGTATTTCTCTCCCAATTCGTATGAAATATAAGTAAGTAGGCTGTAGGCAGAGACTATTCGTTAGCCTTTTGGCAAGAGGTAGTTTATAGGAATCAAGCTAATATTTTTATAGAAATCCATGCAGAAATAGTACCGAAATATGACAAGAGTTTTGATTGCCAATGAAAAGTGCTCTGTCGAACGAGTCGAAAGAGATATTATATCCAAAAATCGAGTGTGAAACGCCCGAGCTAGAATCATGCAAAATTTTGATGCATACAACTGGCCTCACGAACCTTCCGGCTATTCGTGTGTTGTGACAATGAATGCCCATGTATAATGAGTTGCTTATCAATTGTCCATTCCTGGAACTAATGTATATAATCTACATTTAATTACTAGCACAAACAGACATGCATACGAATTCATACGTAGTATTTGAAATCGTTTCAGATATGTCGCCAAAAGTGCTGCTGCTGCCAGCTCTGCTGCTCTGTCTGATGCTGAATGGCAAAGAGGTGGAGTCTAAGCAGTATATGCGATGCGAGCTGACGCGTGTGCTGGTCGAGACCTACAGATTCCAGAAGACTTTGATGTCCAATTGTATGTATAATACGAAATTTATATTATATAGAATAACATTATAATAAATTCTCTTTCCAATTAGGGATCTGTCTGGTGGAGCATGAGAGTTCCTTGAATACGAATAAAGTGACGAGGAACGAGAACAACAGCAAAAACTATGGACTCTTTCAAATCAACAGCAGGGATTACTGTGCAGAGGGACGCCGTGGCGGTCTATGCAATATGAAATGCGAAGGTAAGTTAAGGCGAATTTACAGTTATTTCTCATTTATAAAGCTTATATACATTTTGTTAGATCTCTCCAATGATGATATTTCGGATGACATTGCCTGCGCACAGCGAATACAACAACGCGATGGCTTCAAGTACTGGAAGGGCTGGAATCGCTATTGTCGCAATACGCGCAACTTGCCCAACTTGGATGTCACCTGTAAACTGAGCACCTTGTCACCCATACGTTCACCCAATTTCTATTAGAGTCGTCCTTTGAGCGTTAAGGAACAAAATATGCAAAATCTACTTATGTGAATTTCCATCTAGTTTTATATCAGGTATTAGATTGTAAGTGCATTGCATTGAAAAACTAGATTTTAATTGGAAATTGTACTTAAAAATCTTCAAAATAAACAAAAAACCGATTGAAACTAAATGAACTGCGTTTTTATTTTTCATTGCATACTTTCAGGCATAACGTTAATTCATCCGACAAATTTATTGCGGCATACTTTTGGGGGCAGTTCAATTTTACCATCGCATTGCTCTATAGGATTGCATACTTTCGGGGGCAGCAAAAATGTGTGAGCCTATTGAATTTTTAGTACATTTCCACTCAAATACCAGGCTCTCAGAACTGAGCAGAAGGTCACCGAAAATTGTCGAAAAAGCATTGAGTGACATGACAGTAACCCTCTCTACTCTCTACTCTCAGTCAGTGTCGTGTATTAGCGCTACCGGTCGAATTTTCAACCAAAGAGCACAAAAAATACCAGGCGATCAGAAATCACAGCAGGTCGACAAAACCCGATTGAGTGCACATTTTTACAAATTTGCTGTTCAAGGTCAACAATATGAGAGAGACTCAACTATATGAGAGAGACTATGTGAGAGACTCTAACACCACTACGTAACCACTTTTATTTACACTACAAGTCGAATTCTACACGAATGAGCTGTGGATATACCAGGCACGCAGAAAGGGGCAGCAGGTCGTCAAAAACCCTTTGAGTGCAAATTTTTACAAATTTGTTGTTCAAGGTCAACCATATGAGAGAGACCATTTGAGAAACTCTAACATCACTACATTTACATTTCCATTTGCACCACAAGTTGAATTATTAACGAATGAGCTGTGGATATACCAGGCACGCAGAAAGGGGCAGCAGGTCGACAAAAACCCTTTGAGTGCAAATGTTTACAAATTTGCTGTTCAAGGTCAACCATATGAGAGAGACCATGTGAGAAACTCTAACATCACTACATTTACATTTCTATTAGCACCAAAAGTTGAATTATTAACGAATGATCAGTTGATATACCAGGCACGCAGAAAGGGGCAGCACGTCGACAAAAACCCTTTGAGTGCAAAATTTTACAAATTTGCTGTCCAAGGTCAACAATATGAGAGAGACTATGAGAGAGAGTCTAGCTCCACTACATTTACGTTTCCATTTGCACCACAAGTCGAGTTCTATACGAATGAGCTGTGGATATACCAGGCACGCAGAAAGGGCAGAAAGTCGACAGAAACTCTTTGAGTGAAATTTTTCACAAAAATTCATTTCAAGGTCAACCAATTGAGAGCATTTTTAGCTCAACTTCTCACAGAAGTACTCCATTTCAAGGTCGTTTGGTGAGCGCATTCCGCAGTTCTTTTGAGCAGCACGTGGACTGAGGGCATGAGCCGGGCTGGAAAAAAGGGGCATTATTTTTTATGACCATTACTTGCGCATTTGCAAGTATGAGTGTTTTGTGAATTTCGGTTCGCCAGGATTGGCTTTTTGGCATATTAGGCCAAGAGCAATCGGGTCGTCTGAGAACCGTTAACTGTCTCGTCTGCAAGCGAGCGAAATTTGCTTGAAAATATGCAAAAATCCGCTGTAGCTTGTACGACTTTTACTGACCTTTTTTCAATTTTTGACAGATTTATTATTGATAAGACTCTTACTCTTATATTTCAAAGATTTGGTAAGAGACAATAATAATTTTCAGCCAAGAAATCAATTTTGAATAAGCACTTAAACCTGAACTAAAGACATTTAAGTTTAGAGATTTACTTGAGACTATGTTAATCTTTGTTCTTTTACTACTTAGCAATAAAAATGACAATACTTATAAATGATTAGCTAACTAATACATGTTATGCTAATAAATAATAACTTTCTTAATGGCAAACGCGCAGAGAGTTGGCTTGAGTTTCGTGTTTTGTCACATTGAAGAACACACATACACATACATATAGCATACATATTTATAGCAGCCGTAACTCTTTTATATTCACTACTCCCACGCCCCGCAGCGACAGCCAACAATCAACTGAACGTGGGCGTTTTGGCTTGCTGTGGCTCGATCTGAACGCCTCGGCAAACGGAGTCGCAATCGTAACTCTGGCGACATCTAGCTTGGGCATCTGCACTTCCTAGCCGCGTCTGTCTGTAGGGCGGAATGGCTGCTTGGCTGTTTGACTCACTGCAAGGGCGTAGGACAACCTACGTTTTATTTTTGGTCTAATGAAATGCAGTTTGCTGTAGGTAAAACACGTAAGTGTAGCCCCACTCGGAGTGATTGACTAGGAGATGCTCTGAGTGGCGAGCCACGTTCATGCGGACATTTCAAGTAGGCTAGAGCACGGTATTTAAAATGGCAGCTTTTTCTTATATGAGTATACTTTAAGAGAAGTTGGATTTCCTATAGTAGATTTCCAATTTGAGAGACCTAGCAGACCTAAAGGAACAAAGCTAAAAAAAATAAATATTTTATATTATAGAACTACCAAGAGCCAGACGTAGCTCAACATTATCTTAGATTATTTTCTATAGTTGTCTAGCTGCCGTCTCGCACTCCTATAGCCAAATCCAATATACCCTTTCCAAGCACCATCAAATATATTCAAGGCAACAAGAACGCAGACCTCTTGCGAGCTGCCTTTGTGAGTTGAAGAGTCTTTGGCAAGGTTCTACGAACTACATTTAAATGCAGCTACTTTTACAAGCGCTCACTTGGTAATTGATAGGCTCTCGGCCAGCCATGGAAAACATGTAAAACAATTCGCGTAGCTGAGCCCGGGTATTGTCTACGATATCATTTGCATTTCCGTTCCAACAAAAGCCGCACTTCCGTTTATGGACGGAGCACAGCCAACCGAGAGCCAGCCGAAACAATGAGCAGCTCTTTCATTCTTAAACGCGTGAAGCGTGCAACCAACAGCAACAGCAACGGCAACAGCAACAGTAATGATAATAATAACAATAACTATAAGCACAATTCATGGCAACAGGTGAAGCTACAAATGAAACTCAAAAATCAGAGCGTAACTACAAATTACAATGTAGCCCTTGTTGCTGTTGTTGTTGCTGTTCCATTAGAATGCCTTTTGCATATGTGAGTGGTCAAAATAAATCAAAAGCAACAGCAACAACAGCAGCAGCAACTGTTGCTGCGTAGCTGGTCAAAAGGCACAGCAGCAACATCCTCTGCACACAGCGGACGCTCACCTCAAACAGTTTTGATATGCAGCTCAGCTGTCGACTCCTGCACTCAGTGCTGAGCACTTTACAATAGCAGCACCCCAAAAAAAAGCTAGAAAAAGAGCCAAGCTTTATAGAAGTATTATTATTATTTATTTAACTCTTTTGCATTATCTATTCAGCTATAATTCTCAGTTGCTTCAGTCCTTCACCTTAGCTCTATTCGTATATAGCTTCCTATTCTGCTCTATACTCATTTGAAAAGTATTGTTTAAGCTATATACAATATCGTATTAAATATCAGTTATCAGCTAAATTGTAGTTTACAATTCAGCTCAAACTTTTATATTCCGTATAAGCTACTTTTAGCTATAAAACTGCTAAATTCGTAGGACTGCCTGAAACGCCCTTTTTGTCACGCTAATCTGGCCACAACTCACAATAACAATAACAACAACAACAGCAACCAAAACGTAATGTTCGAAACGTTTCAGTGCGTTTAATTTCCGCTGCCTCTGTCGCAGTCTCTGCCTCCGTCTCTGCCTCTGTCTCTGCTTCTGTCTCTGCCTCTGCTGCAGTCTCGGCCTAAGCTGTGGCTTCCTTTTGTGCTTTGGTCAGCTTGACTTGTTCGTCACTGTCGCTGGCTGGCTAATTATGCATAAAATGCATTGACAACAAAGCAACAACAGCAAAACAATTTGATTTGTCCTAGGCCAAAATTATGAGATCAAGCCACGCCCTTGAGCTGTGGCATTGCCCCTTGATCCATTGATCCCTTGATCCTGCCCGCCTGCCTGCCTGCCTGACTCATTGCCATTGACATGTGCTAATCGGCCCATGTAGGCAGATGCGCCTTGTCTAGACGGCATTGGCAGCCAACTTGTTAGCCTCAGCCGTCGACGAGCTCTGCTTTTTTTTTTTAGCACTCGCTCGCTAATCAAGGCACAACAAGTCAGCCGAAGAGCTGAAGAGCTCAACGATTCCCAACCAGCCGATCCACCAGGCAGTTTCGCATTAACGTCGTCGTCTCCCACACAAGAAACGTGTTCAATTTTATAGTTGAGCCTTAAATACTCTTTCTTAGACTAAGTCGGATTTTGTTATTAACAATCTGCTGTTGTTTCTATCTGCAGTTTATAAGCTGATTGTAAAAGTCGATCCGTATATTATTAGCTGATGCTAGAGCTCATTCATATTTAGACTCAAGTCGTTACACTTTACTTACAAGTTGCTTGTTTATTTTTAAACTAAATGTTTGGCATTCTTATCACAGACAGAGTCTCTAGCTAACAACTCACTTATAGCTCCTTATCCTCTTGGTATTTCACATACTAAAACTAAATGGTATTCAAGCCATTAAAAACTCGACCGAATCACTCTTCCAAGTCACGTTGCCCGCTTGAAGCTCAGAGCACACCCGAAAGCTGTTTTGTGTAGGCGCAGCCATAGCGCCGCTCTTAGCACAGTGAAACCCATCCCCAGCCAACCCAAGCGGACCCAAGCCAACCGGCCTCAGACCAAAAGCCGCTCTGGCCAAAAATGTATTCACAACTGGCTGAAATTAAGGCACGTCAGCGGAAATAAACCTTCTTTCTTTAATTTTCGTGTGTTTCTGTGCGCCAGCCAAATGACTCCAAATGTGTTGCTCGTAACGGCATTGCAGCATTCGCTGTGGAGCAGCAATGGAACGAGAGCTGGAAGATTGTTGTTGCTGATGATGTGGATGGGACTGTGGATGTGACTGTGGATGTTGGCTGCAGACATGCTCTTGATGTGCCGTTGATGCTGGCTCTGCGTAGCTATGGAGATTGATGCAGATG